ATCATCATCATCATCATCATCATCATCATCATCATCATCATCATCATCATCATCATCATCATCATCATCATTATTATCATCATCATCATCATCATCATCATCATCATCATCATCATCATCATCATCATCATCATCATCATCATCATCATCATCATCATCATCATCATCATCATCATCATCATCATCATATATTAATTGTGCCGAAATGCATCCCGATGTGAAGCAGGGTATAAATTCCACGCATCAATGCAATTGATTATTGACTTTTTTTATTGGTTTTAGTGGTTAGAATTCAATGACTACCTACGAACACCCACAGCCACAGCACTGGGAATGGGGAAAGTTGATCAGTGTTTGACTCTAGATTCAACTGAAATAATTATTCAGTCGTTAATTGATTGGGAAAAAAAAACGTTTAAATTTTGTCCGACATTTCGATGATGCTAATTGGCATCGAAACGTGGAACAAAATTAAACCTTTTGTTCCAATTAATAAAATACTAACACGGTGTTATGATGATATGATGATGATAGTGGTTTACCACCCATTTAAGCACGGAAACTAAGTTCACGAACACCAACTTGATTATCCGCTAGGAAACACCATATAATATATAGATTTAAATCTCAAAAACACAGTTTTAACTGATAGTACTTTACATATAAACCTCCGTGCTCTGCCTTTGTTAACCCAAAACCCTAAAACTGATTCAAAGATTATCATATAGAGAGTATAAAATAAAATTTCCACCTGCACTGTATTGTCGATTCAGAAATCATTAGACCCTTACCCACTTACTTGGCCAGACTTCAGCATCAACCGGTGGGCAGTGCACTTCAAGTTACCTTTGTTTCAAATTCATCTCAAATGTTATACTTTACCTATTGAGTGTTGATTAATCACAATACAAATAGTTATCGAGCGCGGCCTTGAGGCTACTAGACTATTAAATAATCTAGGTCATTTTTAGGATTACATTTATGTAAAAAAAAATCCAATTTTGGGCGAATGTCTACCAAAAATAAATAAAATTACTTTATAACTTAAAGTGCAATGAATGAGCGTTAGTTTCGGGATCATTTTAGTGTTAGAGTTATGTTAGTTTTGATCCGTAATCAGCCCTGCCGGTCCCTCCAACATTAGCTGCAGGCAGTGGTTGTTCGACACTATAATTACTTCTATGTTAGATGTATGATCTATAATCTTGACGTTATACAACTCAATGTTTCAAATGAGGTAAAGTATTAACCTTATAATTACAAAAAAAAAACATAAAAAACATAAACATGCAAATCTATATATATAAAAATGAATTTCTGTCTGTCTGTCTGACCCTTATAGACTCGGAAACTACTGAACCGATTGGTGTGAAAATTTGTATACAGGGGTTTTTGGGGCCGTGGAAGGTTTTTATGATGGTTCGAGACCCCTCCCCTTTCTGTAAGGGGGGCTCCCATACAAATGAAACAGAAATTTCTGCATAACTCGAGAACTAATCAAGCAAATGGAACCAAATTATTCATGTGGGGGCGAGTGTGGGGGTATAAGGAGATAATCATAGGGGGTAGCCCCTTAGATAATAGGGGGGGGGGGGGCTACGTACAATATAGCATGCTATTTTTTAAATCGGCGCATAAACTCAAGCTAATATTGAATCCCGAGCAAGACCGAGCACACTCAGCTAGTGTTAAATAAAACTTGAAAAATCATCGGGATTAACGGTATTCTTGAGCAGGGCATAACATAACATAGGTTACGCTCCCCCTAAGCGGACCCTCCGCATCCTATCTCTGTCTTATTTCAAATACTAAATGCCAATGGTTTGAATGTATAAATATATAAATTGGAAATGACGTTCAATCAAATAAACCCATACCCCACTCACTTTGCCAGGCTTCAGAATCGTCCAGTGGGCAGTACGCTCTGCACTCCAAGTTCCCTTTCTTTTAAAGTCACCCCAAAATTTCATATTTTACCCCTTTGAGTGTTGATTAATCACAATGAAACATTGTGACAGAGCACAGACTTGAGGTTACTAGAGTATTGAATAATCTAGGTCCTATTTAAGATTATATCTGAAAATCCAAATCTGGCCAACGCCCACCTTAAATACTAACACGGTGTTATGTGTGTGTGTCATCCTCTATCCCTCACCCAGCCGGGGGCGTTGGACTAGTAGAACTGTGAATAATTTGATTCAATCTCATGCTCCGTTATGATGCCCTTTATGTTGTGAAGACTATTACTTCAAAAAGGGTAACTTTTGAGGCAAGACAGAGTGTCCTCAACAATTTAAGGGAACAGGATGCACTAGATATCCACAACAGGTACAGCAAAACATCACAAAGACGCCCTTATTCACACTAACTACTCAGGGGGTAGAAGGGCAAGAAGAGCCACAGCCACCAACTAAAGCTTGAACAGGGTACCTGGGACTCCCACGATATACCCGCGGCAATAGTCAGCAGACGATATGCGTATTTAGTAAGTAATATGTTTTATTTTGATATACACAAAATTTTTGAAGCCATGTTGCTTTTAATTTAATTCTATCGCTAATTCATCATACTAATTTTATATTTTTTTTAATAACCAAGTCCATAGTACCCAATTTAAATACTAACACGGTGTTATATGACAAAAAAAAAACATTTCAAGAGACCTATTGTAGGTTGATCGTCTAGTCGAGTACACCATGAAATCCACATTTTAAATTGTTCTAACACTCCCTAAATTTAAAGTTATTGTTAAAACTCCAATTTTGGGTAAGTGACCGCATACTATCATGAGTAACTCAAACGGATCAAAATTTTAGCCAAATCGGTCAACATTACCCTATTTGAAGCTATTTTTTTCCGAGTTAAAGATTCAAATGAATTAAAAAATTCTATTTTCAAAGTTTTGGTCCTATGGGGGCCCAAGCATCACTAAACAAAATACCTTAATATGAAATTTATTAGCATTTTATTGAAGCGATATCTGGCTGATTTTTTTTTTCAATCTGACATTCATTGCTTCAATAAAATGCTAATAATTTTTCAGGATCAACAACTCCACAACTCAACTGAATTCATCTGCATCTGTTAAGCAATGGCATCAATTATGAGACCTGATTGAGACGATTGATAAATGCGTATTTCAACTGCCCATGCTATTCAACCAAGTCGCCTGGTCACCAGCTTTATTGTTCCCGGTCATACAATTCACCTCAGTGGCCAATTGAATAAAACGAACCTTTTTCTCCGAGTCATAATAATAATTGTCGATAATGCTACATCATCATAAATAAAACCGCCTTTGCCTGCAATTTGTGGGTGGACCGATAAGCGCACAAGATGTCCGATATCGAGAGGAGAACAAGTCGTGCGTGAGACATTTGTCCAAATACCCTTCAATGGCAGCAGCAGCAGCAGCAGCTTGAAGTTACAAACACGACTTCAACCCAACTGGGTTGAAATGTTACGGCCGAGTAGTAGCAGCAACTGGAGGCGGAGTAGACTATGGTGAGGATGGTGCGACTAGCCTTCTAGGATTTCTGCTCCAAGGCAAGGACAACAAGAAGTGTTCCAGAAGGAGCACCAAGATGGTGAGATAAAGACAGTCGACAATGTAAATAAAGATTTTATGATCTCTTCTGGCGCTGGCCATGTGTGTGTGTGTGTATGTGTGTGTGCGCGTTTGCCGCATTGACAAGAACTCTAGTTCGTATACCGTTTCCAACACATTACGATTGCTGATTGCCTCGGGAAAGGGGGAACACCAACCAGGACATTCCCCATGCTTGAGCTTGTATCTTGTGAATTGCATCACTAAACTGGTTTGGGGCGGGGCGGAGACCATGATCGTTTTATGTTCTGTGTCTAACATGTGCTAATTTAGTCGATTGTCGTTATCGAGAGCCAAAGTGTGGAGAAGATGAAATGCCTATCAATTGAATATGCATGCATGCACATAGAGGACCGTTAGGTATGTGGCATTTTTATTGGAACCCGTCGCCAGCTGTCGTCGCTGCATGGAGGGCGAAGGTTTGGGGACGGAGAAGCCTAGGGCGGACCAAAGAAAGGCACACGTGGAATATCGACATAATAGTTTTATGATTCACTCAGTGCAATCAGCATGTATGGTTGTTAAGTAGACTACGTGATCGGGCGAAGCAATTGATTTTGAACAATAGCAGACATGCTGAATATGAGTGTGTAATTTCGTTGCGTAATGAGCTTTCGAGAGTGTTGCCTTGGTTATGACGAGTGATTTTTTTTCGCATCAAAATGTACATTTTTACTGAGAACATTGTCACCACTAAATTGTATGGGAAACTTATATTACGACAAATTCATGACATTTACCACCTCTGGTTGGGAAGAATTAATGATTTATTGAACAGCTGCGACATGCAGAGGCGATTACAGTAATGGTGTCCTCATTTTGCCGCACATTCAAAAGGGGAGTTTGTTTTTCTAGTACTCAACCCATATGGACGGGGTGAGTCGATGTCAGATGAACTATTTTAGAGATATTTTTTTCTCGCTGGTGGATCTAATGTCGGCCTAAACGTCCCTAATTTGAGCCCATACATAAATTCAAGAAATAACTAATTTCACACGTGACGGAATCCGCCTTTGACATAAAATATGAGACGTAAACAAACATGTTATGTAATATTACGTGCTGCGATACTGAAATTTTGCGTCTATTATGACTCAACTTTATGTCAAAATTGACGCTCCTAGGATTACAGGATTTTTTTTCTAAGTGTGTATGGTCTGTTCCAATACCAAAAAAAATATTGCTTTTTGAATGAATTTGCATGAAATCTAACTGATTGTCAAGTATGCAGAATTATCTCTTGGAGATTAAAGAGAAGTACAACCTGCTTGGTTGGTGGTCTAACAGTAACTAACATTTATTTTCTGAGAGAATACAAATTAATAATAGCATGGCTTGCTTTAATGTCGTTCTTGTTTCTACTTCAACACTCCTTCTCAAGGACGATGTTCTGCTAGCCAATCTCCTCCCGTATCTTCTGCAGCTTAATTCGGCCTGGTGGTTTTGTCAGCGCATCCGCTAACATCTCCTCTGATGGACAATACACGATGTTGAGGACTCCTGATCCGTAAAAATCCCGGACAAAGTTATACCTGGTATCGATGTGCTTTGTTCGTCTCGTCACTCCTTCGGCACTCAGCATACTGATACAGCTTTGATTGTCTTCGTAGACGGTCACGGGTTGCTGAATATCCTCGCCTAGTCCTCGCATTAACTTGAGCAGCCAGAGAAGCTCTTTGGTGGCCTCCGCAAGTGCGACATATTCCGCTTCGGTTGAAGACAAGGTCACGCACTGCTGCTTGCGAGCTGTCCAGCTAATTACTCCTTCGCCAAGCTTGAACAGAAAACCAGAATTGGACTTTCTATCCGTACGGTCGCACGCCCAGTCAGCGTCAGCGTATCCTTCAAGATTGCCTCTTCCTCCCAGTCGCAGCTTTAGTCCAGCAATACCCTTCAAATACCGCAGGGCTCGTTTCGCTTCCATCCAGTCACGTGCCGTTGGTTTGCTGACTTTCCGCCCATGGATCACTAAATCGGGTCGTGTGCAAACAGCAACGTAGAGCAAAGCTCCCACAAGGCTCTGGTATTTGTCGATGGTCAAAATTTCCTCCTCCTTTTGCTCTATGGTGATGAACCCGGGGTCCATCGGAATCGGTGACGATTTTGCTTGGTAGTTGAATCCCAAGGTAGTTGCTTACATCACCCAGACACGGAATCTTGAATTTATGCTCCAGGTGCTTCCGTACTCATTCGTACTCCTTGACGCCGTCGGTGACGATCTACATATCATCCACATACAGTAGGATGAAGGACAACTCACGACCGGTCTTTACGAATAGACAGCTATCGGCTTCCGTTGCTTCGTACCCCAGCTTCTTGAACTCACCACCATTGTCGGAACGCACAATCTTCGACGGTCGGCCAAACGTCGTCTTCACTTCCATCACAAAATCTCTCAGCTTCTGCTCAGCATCCGATTTCTCCCGCAGGAAAAACACATATGTGTAGCGAGAATAATCGTCAGTGACGGTGAAATAGTACCGACATCCTCCTGATGTGACATTCTTCATCGGACCACACACGTCCACGTGGACGAGGTCCAAAGGCTCTTTCGATCGTTTCTTAGACTCCTTCGGAAACGGAAGTCTCGCCAATTTTCCTTTTTGGCAGCACTCGCAAACAGACCGTATACCACAGTCTTCGATTTTCATTCCGGTTACTAGCTCCTTTTTCACCAGCTCCTGGACAGCATCGTTATCTCGGTGACCCATCTTCCTGTGCCACACGTGTTGGCAGTTTTGCGTGTGCGATTTCACCCCGGTCTTCGAAGCGTTGTGGGCGTTTTTTATGATGTACAAACCACTGGACACTGCAGTTTTCGGTGTCGAAAATCACCTTTCCGCCTTTCGCTACCAGCTTGCGCACCGAGATCAGATTCATCTCTAGATTCGGTTTAAACAGGGTATCTGAAAGCGTAATTGTTCGTTTGTTATCTTCCAAATCGCAGCAGTCCACTTCACACGTTCCTTTGCCCTTTGCAGCTGTCATCGTCCCTTCGGCTAACGTGACGTTTTGCCCCGTAGAATGGGTAGATCACTTTTTCGTGGTACGTTACGGGATGTTAGATCTACCACCGATTCCTAGTCCTGACTACTTCAAACTAGGGGAACAGGATTTTTCAGTAATCCAAGGAACACATCTTAGTCCTTGTTACTTTTTATGCCTTGTTGACAGTGACAAGACTCAGCTTTGTCTACCGAGGATGATCTTGAAACAAGGAAAAAATGAGTTAGTTGTCTTCATCTATGTGATTCCTAATCTTCTATTCGTTGTTCCCTAGTTTGAAGTGGTTAAGACTAGGGTTCTGATGCATGGTCATTATCGGTGTCATACCTTAATTTTGTTGCTAACAGTTCCAATTTTGACTGACAAAGGGGCGCGCCTTTGGAGGGTGTTTCAACACTCCGAAGGGTATAAATAGCGGGACCTTTCAATTAGAGTCGGATCCTTGCGATAAATGCAAGAGTGGCAACTGTAAAAAAATCGAATACTTCATCATTTCTCAATAGTGATGGAGTAATACGACATGCATTAAACTAAGGACACGGGATATACTACAATAGATCAATTTACTGGTCGCAGTAGTGTTAGGTCCCGAACAGAGGAAAAATAACGTGACGTTTTCCTTTACTGCTTCGTCCAGCTCAATGAAGGATTTCCTCTCGGCGCACATGTGCGATGTCGGCCCAGAGTCAACGATCCAGTTTCCTGTTTCACCAGTCCCTTTCGCCGTGAAAGCACAGTTGTCATTTTTCGCTTCTCGAACCGCCTTCGCTTTGGATGGATTCTTCCGGTGCTTCTGGTCGCTTCTGCTTTGTCCTTCTAGATTGCTTGCTAGCTTCCGACAGTCCCGCTGCTTATGACCCGGCTTCTGGCAATAATGACAGACGATTACCTTCTTACCAGATCCAGCCTTCAGAATGGTCTCCGCGTTGTAGCTACCATGTTTCGTCACTTCGTCTACCACCTTGGTTTTCACGAGCTCCAGCGTCAATTCATCGTCCGCCCGACTCTCTAACGCGGTCGTCAGCGTGTTGAACGATTTTGGTAGACTACTGAGCACCAACGCAACCTGCAGCTTTTCGTCCAGCTTCAATCCTGACACGGAAAGACGTTCGAAAACTTCCTCCATTTCGTTCACGTTCTTCTCCATGTCCTCGCCTTCACAGTACCGTTTGGAAATCAAGTTTCGCAGATACGATACCGTTTTCGTCTGCTTGATGAGACCATGCTGGTTTGTCTTCATCAAAAGACCGATTGTCGCTCGTGCACGCTGGTCCCCAGAGTTCCAGTCTTCAATAGCGGCAGCATTTCCCGGGTCACGTTTCGTCGCAGCTCGTGCATCTGGTCTTGCCCCGGTGACGTATTTCCATAGATCTTCACGAATCAGCAGCAGTTCGGTGCTGAACTTTTAGCTGCTGTAATTCGTTCCGTCCGACTTCGGGACTTGAATTTTCTCCTTTTTACCTGGCTTCAATGAAAATTTTCTTCCGTTGTTGATCCGTTTCTTCGCAATCCAAGCGCTGGCCCCATAACCTCTTGGAGATTAAAGAGAAATACAACCTGCTTGGTTGGTGGTCTAACAGTAACTAACATTTATTTTCTGAGAGAATACGAATTAATAATAGCATGGCTTCCTTCAATGTCGTTCTTGTTTCTACTTCAACATTATGACCCACGCGAAATAACCCGCCTTCACGGTACGGTACATACCCTATACGCTTCCACGACGGCATCAAAACTACACACCTACAAATACTTAATTTTACACGTGACGGAATCCATTTTTGACATAAAGGATGAGACGTAAACAAACATGTCATGTAAAATTAAGGGCTCCGAGACTGAAAAGTTCGAAAGTACGTTTGATTGAGCGGAATTTTACGTCTATTATGATTCAAATTTATGCCAAAATTGACGCTTGAATATGTCAGTCTCAGAGCACCTAAATTTACATCAATTTTTCTCGGTGTGTAGGAAAACAATAAAAATTGATCTAGACCCACCTGTTCCGGGAACTTACTGCGGTCGTATTCCTTAGTGGCAGACAGACGAATGGTGTTGTCCTTTGTTGGTGAATCCGGATAAAAACGATGATATTAAAAGCACTATAACACCTTTTATCTCCACTTTCGTTTGGTGTTAGTGAACAAGAGTCTCCTCGAGTGTACGTGTGGCTACAATACTGGGATTTATTAGACTGATACTGACATCAAGCTACAGACGATCTTCTACCGTATAATCGTTATCATTCGGCTGAGTGACACACATTTTATACCTACGATCGATATCGGTCAATACCGGCAGAGTAAAGAGAATGAGTACCTACTAGTCTAATTTTGTAAACTACATTTCGCCTGCAGTGGCTAATTATTAATTCTGCAAAAATTCAAATCTATTAATAGGGATTTCACAATAATTCACAATAATTCAATTCTTAGTTTATTAATAAACTGCCACAACAACACCGATAGAACATATGATTGGTCGATGTTTCAGCGATTCTGATTGTTTTTAATAAGGGGTTCATTCAGAGACACTGTAAACTCTACAACACATAGGTTCTTTTGAGGGATTTCGAGGTATCTGAAATAAATATCTTAATATTAATATCTATGTCAACATCTCTTAAGACCCATAAGCAAAGCTCGTCTGTAGACTTTGTAAATTACGACTCTGACGTTGTAGGAAAGGATGTACAGAGTTAACGGAAACTATTTGCTGGTCTCTGAAGTTGACCAAAAAGATCTTTTAACTAAACTTTTAGGACTTCTACACTTAAACCTACAATTTTATGGCATTTGATTCGAACAATTTTTATTGCAGACATTAAACATAGTTATTTTTAGTGAAAAACGTGAAAAGCTTTTGTATAATATAAAAAAGTTTTTTTTTTTGTCATTGGTCGAAAGGTTGAGTAGCAGCACCTACTCCACCCGTGTCTCCTCGAGATCGACAAGTCGACGATGATAGGAGCACATACCGTGGTAGGGGTAAACAAAAGCAGCAATTCCCAAACCTACGACTGGATGCCTTCCTTCAAATAACAACTGAAGTGCGGTAAAAATCGGTAGAACTGTTTCAAACACATCTCTCTACTTGAGCGGTCGGCGTTCATCTCTTTTTGCCAGTGGTGGCAGGGGGGGACACCCCTCACCATCCCTCTCCAAAGGGGGAGTTTGGTAAAGAGAGATGAAAGAACCGATTTGTACCTTCCTTAAAAAGTTGTCCTAGCTCGCTATCTACTATCTATACGCAATTTTCACACTGCCGTACTCTAACGGAACTATCAACTCTATGCTTTCATCTCCTCCATCTTCGTATAAAAATTACCACTTTAGTCTGTTATATGAAATTAGCATCTTCAACTATATAAAAAAGTTTCTTGGTGGAACTTTGATTACTTGATGATATTCTTCGACAAATCGATTGCCAATCGGTTGAATACCAAAGCAATACTTATTGATTCGTGGTTTTCTATGAAAATAGAAAAAAATAATTGGACATAACTAAACGATAATCATCAAATTGAAGCGCAAGATCAAAAAAAAATATATTATAATTTGGTCGGACCTGTCTTTTGACATTTTTATTGTTGACATGCGTACACGAAGAAACTTCCAGAAAATGGAAGGAAACAAAGTAAATAAAGCCATCGACGTCAACAATCTGATTCAATCAGCTAATTTTTAACGAAAACAATAAAATATTTAATGAACACGCCCGTCCCTTCGTCCTACCGACGGTGACGATGCAAGCTTTTCCGCACTACCCACTCATGGCTCCCGCCGAACCGTTTAGAGGACGGAGTTGGGCAGGAGCAGCACAAACCTGTGTTTTCCTGGTATTCACCACAACAACACCGTCCAGAGGGACTTAGCATCTCCTAGAATGCTTGCTGGACAAGGGCACCGAGCACCGAGCACCGCCACGTTTCCCCTCCGGGATAAAAATATGAAAATGAAAATCCTCCAAATTACACGAGTGAGCCAACTCGCCAACTCGCCAACGGCCAACACCACCACCACCAACCCCGTCCCGTCGTCTTCCGTTTTCTGTTCCAGGAGGCAAATCATCAGAGCATAA